AATGAAGTGGGCCATTTCCTAAAGAAAATTGTCAACTCTATCAAGAAAAACAGAAAACCTGAAAAGACATAAATATTTTAATATAATTTAATCAGAAACTAAAAAGTCTCCTCACAAAAACATCAAATACAAAAACAAATTAAAAAAACTGTACCGAATTCATATGGTTTTCTAGGTCTGTACTACCAAGTCTTTAAGCAACAGACACGTCTGTTGTGGCAACCATTAAAGCGTGTCTCTCTGATCTCTGACTACAGAGAGCATACCTAATCAATCAGTCCAGCTACTGCACTCTGAGATCCATCAGTTCAGGCTGAAGCCACACATCCCAGGAGCTATTCGGTCAGTGACCGAGCACGGCAGTGACAGCAAGGCAGGCCTGATCCTGGGAGATACAGAACTCTCGCGGGTGTTTCGGCCCGAGGACTTGCCCTTGGTCCTGGCAGACGTTCTTAGACCTGCACTGTACTCTCAAGCTCTTCCACTCAACTTCCTTTTCCTCCTGTTCGACTTCACGAGGGTCAGGTGGACAATGTGGTCCAAACGGTCTCCCGCCTTCTCCCCTGCTCTTCCCCTTAGAGCAGTTCCCCCGATACACTGATTGCATGTCTAATCCCATTCTGGTGCCTCTTCTCTGAGGACTTGCGGTCTGGGTAATCAGAAGGTAAAATGGGGATTTGGAACTGGTTCATTCATTACCTACCAGGCTAAAAAGATGCTAATCTTATTGGTAGGTGGGGCACAGACGGTCTCTGGAAGAGGCTTCAACTGCTAAAGATTTCACCAGCGGTGATCTAGGGAAAACACCTTCAGAAGAGAGTTGGTTGATGACTACCATGTTGTGTTACTACGGGCAGAGGGATAATGAGAGACTGAAGGACATGAACATCACTGGCTACATAGTAGGCCAGAGGGTGTCTTTTATAGCTGAGGCCCTTATCTCTGACAGTGAAGAGCCAGTATGGATGAGCAGCCGGCTGATTATCTAATTGCAAGGCTACAGAGCTCCAAAAAATGACAGGATGCTCAGCCAAAGCAGTTTTCTTATGCAAGATGAGGGCCATGGTTGGAAAAACCTGGGACCGGGATGTCTGGAATGGAATATCTAGATGGATGCTCTGAGGATGCTGGCTCTATATCTCCCTTCTCTAGTAACAGAGCCAACAGATGCTCCCCTAACAAGCTGCCACCACCTCCTCTCTTGGTTGCTGGATTGATGATGAGGGTTTAATGACAACATAATCCATACTGGCCTGATACGAAAGGGAAGAAATCACATACTTGAAAGAGCTGCAAGAATTAGCTAGCACGAGCTGGCGGAAGCCAGGGGAGTATGACAGCAAATGGATTTGGGTGGTATTTGATCAAGGCAGATGGAATGTAAATATGAATAAGCAAGAATTCATGAATATTGGTGTATATTCTCAGGGCCACAGGAGATGTGATGCCCTAATGAGAACTCCAGGGGATGGATAAACCTGTTGCCGGAGGGACTCTTAGGAGCCCGGAGAAAGTAATGACCAAGGCAAAGTGAAACAGAAATGCCTGAGTTGCCCTAGCATATGAAAGAGAAAGGAAAAGAGAAGTTGACCGTAGAGAACGTGCTGGGATGGAGCTGTAGAGATTATTAAAAATGCAAGGTATCTTGAAGGGCATACTAGGTGGACAGCAAACAATGGTACTATTTAACATTTAGTTTTATTTTAAGTAAGAATGAAAGAACAGGGGGCTGGGGGTGGTCACCCCAATAGAAAACAATGACCCTCTGCTCAGTTCCCAGATTAGCTAATTTACAAATCCAGAACCCACTGACTAAACAGATGGCTGGGTCCATAGAAGAAAGGACATCTTGAAACATTTTGAAGATGATACCTGAAGGGACCTTTATGTGATTTCTATATATACACAGTGCAAGAGGAATAAGTAGATAGTTTGATTACTATTAGACATAGGGTTAGAAATGTCACAGATATTCAAGGACTAAAATGTCATCATGGCACTGTTTTACAGAGTTGGGGTGTCTTCTGGGACCGGGTAACATATTCTGGCAAATTCTGATTCACAGCATGCCAACTGTGTCTGTGGATCTACCTAGTGATAATTTACCTAGTTCTCCGGTGTGTAATTATAATTTACATTCAAGTTAGTTAGACTAACCCCTACATTGTGTCCCTGGCCTGTGTGGTAAGACCTATCACAGTGGGAAAGACCAAGTGGCAACTTCTGAAACTACCCTCCATCTGGTCAAGATGGTAAGTCAAAAACATGTGTCACCCAGTGGGATAGTGAAAATTACTACCACCATTAAAAATCTAAAAGGTGCAGGGGCAATGCGATATGGCCATTTAATTTATCAACCTTAACTTCTTTTAAAATAAATAATTCAGATTTTTCCGATTCACACAGACTTACTTTCCTATTTTGCATACCAGAAGAAGGTGTTTATTTCTTAAATAATTTTTTAGTTTTCTAATTATTTATTCTATTATTCCATAGACTCCAACAACAACAAAATTCTTTAATTCTATATATTAAAGGATTGAGATGTAGAGACGTTAAGTGACCTATTGATGATGGCACAGGACGCTAACATCAGAGCCAGGCTATGTCTATAAATGATCTCCCCAATACTGGCCCAATTACATTTACCACCAGAACTATGCCTAATATGTAAAGTCAAAACACTGACAGTTGTGAACTGGCCTCCATCGAATCATGGCTAAGCCAAAAAGCTGACACACCTACCTCTGTTACTTCAATAACTTGGTTAGAAAAACTCTATTTTAAAATTTATCATTGGCCTTATTTAAAAAAAAAAAACTAAAAAGTTCAAAATATTCTGTCCATGTTTTTTCTTAACAATGAGTCAATTTTAATACTAATTTACATCTCACTACTGAAAGAAATTTAAATGACAAAAAAAATGTCAAATATTTTTTCTCTCACTCAATGATTAGAATACTTATTTTCACTTTGTTCATGATGACAACATAATAAATAAGACCATCTCTAAGACATGGCATACATTAACATTAGCTTTCTTTTATTTAATAAAAGAACTATTAAACTTAAATATGCACACACATTCAAAAGCTTCAGATAAAACCTTCAACGTTTAAATAATTTACATATATATTCAGCATTGTGAATTTTTACACAGAGCTGAACTTCTCAGTATATTTCCATCCACACTATTCTGTATCAAAAAGTTTTACTTTGATGCATTAAAGAATGCTCAATTGATTCTAACTTCTAATACTTTCCAAAAACATATTATAATGTAATTAATAGCCTTAAAATCCATTTATACTCAGAAGTACAAAGTCATAAAACATTAAATATATTTAAGATGTTCCCTCAGATTTCACTTTTAAGGGACAAATGTAAAGCACAGATAGGCTTTGCACACATGTTAGTGATAAACATGTTCCTAGCATCCAAGTCTGGACATTCCCCCTCTCAAGGCACGGAGACAAGCCTGCGTGTTTCGGGGACCCCAGCACGGCACGGGGTCCACTGACTTCTGTTGACAGCAGAAGTCAGTCCGGGAACCGGGGGGAGGAGAGAGCAGACTTTCTGTGTAATGGGCCCGTATGGAGGAATTAGAAGAGGTATTAGAGGGACACGGATTTCATCTCCATTATGAAGAACAACTGGTTTTCTGAAGATAGAAAACGCTGTCTCGGGGGACAGTGCGCTTCGGTCATTACAGGCATTCAGGCGTGAGCTGGACCAGGAGCCGGGCAAATCGTGTCTGGGGCCGGACTCTGCCACCAGCTGTTTTTGTGACAAAGGTGTCCTGGAACCTGGCCACTGGCGTTTGTTTCTGACGCTGTGGCTGCTCCGGCGCCACCGCAAGGGAGTTGCAGACACGCAGCGGGGACCGCATGGCCCACAGATCCTGAAATGTCTCCTCTCTGGCCCCCACAGAAATGCCTGCTGACCTCTGTGGGGAGGCACTGGGAACACCCGTCTAGCGGCCGGACAAGACAAGCAAGACCGGTTACTTTGTGATCAGGGGAGTGCGTGCCTATCGTCTGTGTTGGGGCGGGGATCGGTACCCTACAAGGCAGCACAGCCGACTTGGTGAGTGAAGGTCAAAACTCAGACTGCCCCATCTGTAAAGGGGTGTGCTGGGCTGTGGGGCTGTGTCTGCTGGAAGCAGGAGTCACATTTGTCTAGTTTGCACAGAGGCACCCCACGGATCCATGTAAGCTGTCCATGTCATGATCATGTTAACAGAAGGAACATTCCTTCCAGTCCAGATGCTCTAAGATGCTATAACACCGAACTCAACCTCTTCTCCTAGCCCAGTGCTTCCTTGTTTACATTCACAGAAATTAAACGTTCCTGGAAAAGAGTTTTCATGTTTTGAGAAATGCTTCAAACTCTCTCCTCTCCTTTAGAAAGATACACTGTCAATTAGCATATAAAAAACTCTGAGAAGTAATCTAAGTTAAAAACAAATGAAAAGGGTCCTATGTAACTTTAGGACACACATTTTCCAAAGTTGGTTAATTACGAAACCCTTTTTTATGAACCTGCTGCTGCTATCTCAAATAACTGATGTCCTAGGTATTTAGTGCTCCCAGATTATAAACTCTTTGCGAACATAAAATACATGCTTTTTCTTATCCCCTGTAGGTTTTAGCACATTGCTAAGCACATACGATAATTTTCTAAGAAACCATTGAATTAATTTAATTTGAGGAGATGTCCCTAATCAATAGCAGGCTTTCATTACTGACGTGACAGGGAACACAGTTATCCTTATTCCACTGAACCCACTAACTAAAACAGTACAACAGCAAAATAATCTTGCAAAAGTACATTTCAAGTGTATTTCTTCTGCTCTGTGGTATATATTTAAGCATATAAAACTATTCAAGACACAATGTAGGATATTTTCAGGTTTAAGACTTGATAAATTACCTAACAGATTGACAGAACATACATCAAAATATGGGTTTAACAAATTCAAAGTCAATAAAAGCAATTACCTGAAGAAGGTGACAAAAAATTGCACGAGATCCATGATCGTATTGTGTTGTGAAAATGCGATCTGAAAGACCAAAGTGAAAGAAAATTAGAAGTTCACTGAATCTACATGGTGATGATGTTTCATAGCCTTTGTAAATACAATACTTTTAAACAATCAAGAAAAATGAATCATCATATCAGAAATCATTCGTGCTGGGATCAAATTTTTATCCAGAACATCTAATAGATTCAACTACTAATGATAACATTTGCCTAAGTTCTAAAATTAAATGGTTTAAGGAAACCAATACAAAATGACTTCCAGAATGTAATGCCAAGAGTTCCTGTGAACTCTTGTGACATATTAAATGTGCCTAACTAAATCATGCAAATGAATTTCTTCATCTAATAATAATCACATTTCCATTAATATAATGGATCATTGCTTGTAAGCCAAACTCCATTAAGGAAATTGAGGGGATTTGTTTGTTCTTGCGCATTCTTGTCTAGGGAATCCGCAGGCCTACATGCAACTATCTTGTTACATAACTCACAGGATCAAACATGTCACCTCATTTTATAAGTTCATGTTCACAAAAAAAATGAATTTTGAGAGGTGCAACCAGCCAATAAGCTAAAGTTTTTCTCTTTCTGTTCACATTACAGAGATTATACTATAACACATTTCTTGAGGAAGAATTATATATTGAGTTAGTCAACGCTGCAGCACCTGAATAAAGATTATCTGACTTTGAAATCCAGGTTTTCACTTAGTAGGTGTCAATATTTGGGAAAACCGTATTTTGTGTTTCCGTCGTCCTATATGTCAAATGCTGATAATAAAAGTACCTACCTCATAGAAGAAAGATGAACTGAATTAATAGAAATAAAATTCGTGCCATATGTCTGGCATATAGCAGATATAACATACTAAATATTATACTTTTAAAATGTATAAAGATGATGATAAACATTAATAAATTTTCCCTGATGACTGATACTGAACAATTAGGAATTAAGGCACTGAAATTTCTTTTTTCTTTAATAACCTTTATGTAAATCTTCAGAACCATGTAATAGAATTTATACTTCCAGCAGAAATGCGCTAACGGGAATACGATTTCTCTCTTGCCTTAAACAACTAGAAACCTATACGAAATATGTCTTAAAAAAACAAAACCATCTTCAGACACTGGACACAGCCAGAGGAGGGTAGAGCCCATGAGTGAGGAGACAAAGGAGGTCAGCCTCACTGCTGCCCTAGCTTCCAGTGCAAGGCGGTGACACTAAGGAATTTAAATGACATTCTAAAAAGAGAAATATCAGTATTTCTAACATTAAAAAAAAAAAAAAAAAAAAAACACAGTCGTTTGAGAATAGGGTTCAATATCTGGCACACACACGAAAGCGTAGTGACATTCACTGCCGAGAAGCTGCGAAGCATTTGAAGAACAACAAAGCACTTATGCAGCAACGGAGGAAAGACTGCTGCTGCAGGGAATTTGGTTAAGGGTGAAACTGTCTTAAAGAATTTCAGAAAGAAAAAAAAACAGCAAAACAACTCTTTAATTAATTAATTAATTAATTAATTAATCTTTTTATCCTCACCCGAGGACATTTTTCCATTTTTTGTTTGGATAGAGTGGGAGGGGGATAGAGGAAGAGAGAGAGAGAACTATTGATGTGAAAGGGACAGATCGAGTGGCTGCCACCCACACGATCAACCAGGCCCAGGGACAAACTGCAACCGAGGTACGTGCCCTTAGCGGGAACTGAACCCAGGTCTCTCTGGGCCGCAGGCTGATGCTCTAACTGCTGAGCCAAACCGGCCAGGGCTAAAACCTCTTTTAAATTGGAAAACATTCAAGTAAATTTTCTCCCCAGGTGACTGTCCATGAGAGCGTGTTAAAAACAGAGCTTAGCATACAATATTGTCAACAGTAATTTAAATCCATGAAAAGAGAATTCTAGATGCAGCAACTGAAAACTAACAGGATAGTAAAGAATAATTATTTTTAAATCATAATAAATAGAGTTGGTTTAATTAAGATAAATTGTAACAGGTAACCTTAGACAGTGTTGCAAACATCTAAATGAAAAAGGGGATAAAGTGGCTGCAATAAAGGTTTGAATAATTTAGAAAATATATGGAAAAAGAAGGAAAAAAGGAAAGAAATAAAATAAATAATTCATAAGACATTAAGGAATAAGATAAAGTATATAAGCAACTACACTCAATATGAACAGATTGAATCCACATTGAAAGACAGAGATTTCCACAGTACATTAAAAAGCATAATTCAGACCCTGGCCAGTTGTGCTCAGTGGTTAGAGCGTTGGCCTGTGGACCAGAGAGTCGCAGGTTCGATTTTGATCCAGTGCACATACCTCGGTTTCTGTTTGGTCCCTGACTCTGGTCAGGGTTGTGCGAGAGGCAGCCAATTGATGTGTCTCTCACAACGATGGTTCTCGATCTCTCTCTCCCTCCCTCTCTCTCCCTCCCATGCTGTCTGAAAATAAATGGAAAAATATCCTTGGGCGAGGATTTTAAAAAAATATATAAATAAATAGTATAATTCAGTTTTATGTTTTTATACAGAGGTATTATGAAGAAAACAATAGGCACATAAAAACAAAAATGGCATAAAGGATAATATTTACAGAAAAGTAGAATTCAAAGTCAAAACCTGGTCAAATAAAATGTATAAAGTACAAAGACTACATAACAATAATAAACCTGTATGTACCAAAAACAGCCAAATAAAAACACAATGTCTAGACAAACAAGTAGAATTTGATAATAACATAACTATGAAATAAAATTTTAATATCGATCTCTTACCAAACTTATCTAATCAAGCAGACATAAAATTATTTATTGAGCCATTTAGATCATGAGAAATTTTTCACAGAAACACTGCGGCAGCGAACTCTGTTCTAAGCGCCGGTGACCCCTGTACATAGGATGAGGTCCCTGGTCTCCTGGAGTTTGCATTCAATAGCAGGTGACGTAACAACCAAGTAAACTCAGAAGTGGATATCATGATTTTCAACAGTGATCAGTGTTGTGAAAAAATTAAAAGGTAATGAGATGAAATGAAAGGAAGTGTGGCTAATTTGGATCCGGCAGTTACGGATGGTCTCACTGAAGTCAGAGGGTGTTTTTAAGATTTCATGTATCCTTATTGAGAGCCATGCTAGTAAGTAGGTCCAGATGCTATCCTGAAAACCATTAAAATCGTCTATAAGGTTTTCTTTCATAAATTTCATAAATAATAGACTATAAGTACCTGCTAATTTGATATCATAAACTATTAAATATTTTACTTATAAAATTTATGTTTATTATAGAGTTCAGAAGCGGTCTGTTTCTATGAGTTTTTGTCTGTCTTTAAGTACAGCAAAATTGTTATAAACTCTACCATTTATAATTTTAGCTAAAACATTTTTAAATTAAGATATCAAAAATATGTATTCTTCCTATGTATTTTTACCTCAGTTCCATACCTTCAACAATGAACACATTTAACTATGTTGGCTTCTAGGAACTTCTTTTAGAAAGTAAATTAGATCAGATCACACTCATCTAAAACAGTTGTCATTACCTGAAATATTTTTTATCCAATGAAAAAACAAATGAGATTGCCTTAAAACAGTGATCATTTACACCCTGGCCAGTTTGGCTCAGCGGTTAGAGCGTCCGCCTGCGGTCCGGAGAGACCTGGGTTCGGTTCCCGCTAAGGGCACGTACTTCGGTTGCAGTTTGTCCCCAGCCCTGGTTGGTTGTGCGGGTGGCAGCCACTCGATGTGTCCCTTCACATCGATGTTTCTCTCTCTCTCCCTTCCTCTCTCTCCCTCCCACTCTATCTGTACAAAAAATGGAAAAATATCCTCGGGTGAGGATAAAAAAAAAACAAAAAACAGTGATCATTTAGCCAATTTCACTTAGAAAACAGTGAGACAAATCAATAACACCCTAAATCAGTACTTTTCTAGGAGAATATGGAACATTTCTGACCCTAAGATGTTAAAATTAGATTTTAGTTTAGAAAGATTCCTATAGACGTGATATGGCTAGAACATGGCCCTTTACAGATATCAATATGTTACCATTTTGGCTCTGTGGTCATTTCCATAAAAAATATAAAAAGATTTTTCAAGTCATATTTTAAATTAATTTTAAAATTTAAGTCTGCATAAAAGTACCTTGAAATTTCCTTTTCTGTAATGATTTTATTCAAGTTATCCAATAGTTATTCAAAAAGTTAATCAAAATCAAGAGACCGATTAATAGTAAAATTTAATAATATCCTCATTTGCCCTGTTTTTAAACTGCCCCCAAATAATTGATAAAGTGAATGCTAAAATACTGAGTTAACTGAAACTATGGCAACAGTGATAATATATTTTGTCCATTTGAGCTTTAATGCAAATTCACATTGAATACATGTCTAAACTCAAATTAAGTAATGCTACATTTTTCATTGAATAATAGCAATCAACGTTTTGAATCTATGATTCAACAAATAAAGTTGCATTACATGCATTTGGATAGAGAAACAGATTAAGAGCTTGATATTTAGCACAAAATATCAGAATTCTTATTCTGATATTCTTACTTGCTCTTATTATGAAGGACAAATTCATGTGTTTCTGCAAATGTCAGATTGCCATAAATAAATTCTGATATATTTGAAATAAGTATAAAGAGATGTGATAAAATTATCTAGTTCATCTAACAAAGTAAAAGAGAGGTTTTTAAAACTATTATTTAGATTGCAGTCTTTCAAAATGAAGACATAATGGAAGCTAGTCAACTAGTAACATCTCAGACAACGAGGTTACGTTTCAGGCAAGCAATTTCAAGATTTCATTAGGTTTTTATTTATTAATTTTTTAAACAATTTAAAGCAACTGGAGATGAAATTGCCCATTACTAGATATTATCAGCTGTGATAATCTATCCGAGCAAGCAAAAACTTCCTACAGAAAAGAACACACTGCTAATTGATATAGTAATATGTATCATTCCTGACAAAGTAATATTTCAAACAATGAGGTTAAATGGAAAACAATAATATT